CAACTGGTTACCAGATAATTTGTTATTGTACACAGGATAGTAAATGAACCAAATGGTCTGGTTTATTTACTATGCTGTGTATCGATGCTACTCATTCATTACTGCGCACGTCCCTTTCACTTTTCGAATTTCCTTATCATTTTCTGTGAGAAACTTGGGTCTGTAAAGACAGAAGCGGTCATCGAAGCCTTGGGCAACCAGGGCGTCCCTACTCAGTACATCAAGATTCTTCGTGAGCTCTACAGCAACTTTACGACCAGAATCTCACCATTCTACAAGGAGGTCATCATCGACGTCAAGAGAGGGGTCTACAACGACACCATCTCGCCCAAACTCTTCAGCGCCACTCTCGAAAGTGTTCGTCAACTGGAATGGGAAGACATGGGAGTGAAGGTCGACGGCCGGCAACTACACCACCTTCGTTTTGCTGACGACATCGTTCTTATAACGCCGAACATCGAGCAAGCGGAGCGAATGCTGGCTGATTTCGACTGCGCCTGTGGTAAGGTCGGTCTGCAGCTGAACCTAACGAAGACGATGTTTATGAGAAACGGATTGGTTCCTGATGCCCCATTCACGCTCAACGGAACGAACATCACCGAATGCTCCAGCTACGTGTACCTAGGGAAATCAATATGATGAACGATCTAGCTCCAGAGCTGAGCAGGAGGAGGGAGGGGCGTGTAAGAACATCGATGAAGTAGTGAAGAAGACTCCGCCTCCGTGCCTTCATCGATTCAGTCCTTCCTGCCTCAAAGGCAAGCCCCGGAATCAGTCTCAGTAGTCGGAAGGATACTGCGAAGAAACTTATAGCCCTTCCCTAAGAGAGTGTTCCTCACCCGTCGCACGAAATGCTCGGTTAGGGCGCTAATCGTTGAAGTGCTGCAACCATCGGCCCTTATTGCAACGCTTCCCACCCACGCTACCGATATGGAGATCAGCGCGCTCTCAAACGGAACGCTCTCTCGCGTGGTTGTCTTCTTTGATCGCTTGTCTCGCCATCGTACTACATCCGACCTTACTGGAGGTCAAGGCCTTAATTTTAGCGTTTCCGATGGCTTCTCTTGCTTTCTTTTCCACTTTTGGTTCATTCGCAGCTCATCCATCACTAAGGTGTGCTCTTATACACCAGTTTTATCCCGGGGTTTGCCCTTGACATACGCCTCAGAGAGTTGGACTCCACACAGGCAGGACGAACATGCGATGAGAGCTGCTTGAAATCACCCTATACACGCAAGTGCAGAGGGGAATCCGGAGTTCCGAACTACGCCAACGATCGAAGATCAGGGACGCTGCCGTTTTCGCCAAGGAATCGAAGATAAGGTGGGCCGGACACGTCATGCGATTTTGATGACCGTTGGACCAGAGCGGTTACCGACTGGATCCCTCGGGACGTCAAACGAACACCTGGACGACCGCCGGCCCGATGGTCAGACTTCTTCACGAAAGCTTTGAACGAAAGGAACGAAGTGCTGCGTGTCCCCGAAGGGAAGGACCACTTTTGCAGCGCACGGACGAATGGAGACGTGAAGACAGGCGGACTCCCTAAGGGTGCAGACCAACCCACAATTTGCATCGAAAAAATATGCCCCCGGCGATCTGGCATGGCCTTCCCTTTGGCGCAGTTGGCGCGGAACGCCCACCGACATAGCAGAGAGAGCGTTAGCGTTGAAGAGGGCACAATGAGAGTCGCATCAATGCAAAATCAACGGGCAAGGAAGGGCTCCCATTCCTCGAGTACTGGGCTGTTTCACATGGTTTCTTCTTCCCTGACCAGCGCTACTATAATTTCTAATAAGCTAACTTTTCATCGTAAAATCCGCCTTTATAAATGAAACTTCCTAAACTCACATTGTTGCTGAAGTTGCTGAACCAGACGTAGTATAATGCATGCGATTTAGTAAAGGGCGAAACCCTTCAAATGAGCTCTCGAGTTTAGCGAATTCATCCCTGAGAAAAGTTCCACGAACATGTCCATACGGTGATAATCCTGCTCTGAATTGCGAAGTCGAATCGAATAACATTTGACTAATGTTACCGATGAAGTATTTTTCCTGAAAGAAGTCGTTCAGTTGAACACCTAGAAAAAAACTCTCATTATACAATCAGAAATATTCGAAGTTCAGACGATGCTACACAAGAAAAGCAAGAAAATAGTTGAGTGTGATTAGAGCAGTTGGCAACGATTCCCCTGATTTCCACCTCTCGCGCACACACTATCGTCCGCCCACAGAAGGACTTCTCGAGCACACATTACCGTCACCTCGCCATAATGGGAAACAATGTAAACATCTGACATTTTAAAACGAGAAGTCTGAAGTGTTGGTCCATCACCTACCTAGGATCATCTCATCATTCCTATGCACTGGAGTTTTTATACGCGCAGATCTTCCAAGGTTTAGAAATGCGGCGATTTTGAGCTGGGACAGTAGTAATCTCAAATGACTCAGTGGCTTAACTCCTACTTGGTCGAGCGGACAGAGAAAAAAGACACGCGGTTGAGGACGCCACGTTTGCCGCGTTAACCCTCTAGTAAAAGCCCTTTGGAGTACTTCACGCTAAAGGGTCAACGTGGCCTGCGTCTCCTCAGCCTCACGAAAATTCAAGTAGCTCTAAACCGACAATTAGATCAAAAAAGACAGACCACGCGAGAGTGTATTCCGTTTGAGAGCGCACTGATCTCCACATCGGTGGGGTGGGTGGAAAGCGTTGCAATAGGGGGCGGTGGTTTCAGTCCTTTGACGATTAGCCTCATAAACGCGCATTTTGTGCGACGAGCGTGGCAGTGCGACGAGCGTGGCACGCTTTCTCTAGAGAAGGACACTGCATCTTCCCTCACGGTATCCTTCCTTCTACTGAGGCTAATCCCGGGGCTTGCCTTCAACCGTCTGATACAACAAATCGCCTGTGTCTCGATTCGTCAGCTCTTCTTACAAGGTATCGCGTATCATTGCTTATTTCATTATTTGCTTATTTCATGTTTGGCCATTCTTTGCCTTGACGGTGACGGCCTTTGATGGCGATAATGTTGTAAAATCGTCTCGGCTCTGTACCGTTTCATAGCACTTGTAGTATGAACCCTTCTTCCGCTTTACGGTTAACTTGAAGTCCTCCTTTAAAACCTACACCAAATCTTCCCTTTTGGTTGAACCTCCTTTCTCTTCCTGCGCTCACTTTGCCCTCCTAGGGAAGACTCGGCCACTCTGTTTTAGGTTTAACTAAGGTGGTTCTTTAGATCATCCGCTATTAGAAGGTGGTCACTTTCCGAATTCCATCTCATGGCATCCTTAGGAACCACTATTCTTTTCGTGTTTAAAAAAAGCGCTGTACCCTTCGCGCACGAGTTGACTAGCATCTCTCCTTGATATCTATTTTTTTCATGACTATTTTTGGTACTGTTTATGACAAAGACGCCACTTCTGAAAGGCTACGCTCACGCTGCGGCCAAGTCGTTTTGCCAAGCTCTTCTCCATTACACCAGTTTATCCCTGTGCTGCGATTTTTGAACTTTCTTTTCAGTCAGTATTAATTGTTAAACATCAAGCAGTATCTATCAACTACATACTCCATCACCATCAGCCACTTGTTGCCAACCATTGACCGATCTCTGAGTCTTACTCTAAGAACGTCAACTGAAAGACGCCCGGGTCAATATCGAGATTCCTCTGGTAATCTTTTTTCTCATAAGACGGCTAATGGGCAACAATATTAGATGCAAATCACAAGAGGGTACCCCCAGGAGGCGCGTGGCGCGGCAAATGCAGTCAGCAGACAAGTCGCGCGCGTACGATCGAGATTTCGCGTCAAGTTAACCCTTTCCGGACCGCCTGACACACATGGTGTGTCAGGAACTTCAAGAGCTGATTTTTCCAAGAGTTTGGTTTTTCGATAAAATATTTTATGTTGTTACATACCTATGTAACAGACTCATGCCATATGTATGAAAAAACCTAGACTTTAGGTTTAATCTAGGTTCTAAAATAACCAAAGAGTAAATGGACTTCCACTTTGGGCTCAAAGAAAACAGTTGTAGTTCGCTTGAAAACACTTAAAAACGAAGAATTTGTGAAATATCCTGCTCGTCGTATCTGATTCTTATGGATCCAATCGTTTTGGGCACGTTCTACTCCCTTTTTCTCCATACCAACTTATTTTGAACAATTTTCGTCCCTTCCTCCCTTTTTATGGCCCTTTCCCTTTTTTTGCAAAACAGTTTTCTGTCAAATTAATCTTATATATTCTTCGAGACATGACAAAGACATAAACGAGACAAAATAATGGCAATACAGATTAAATATATGATATTTATGCTTGCCGCGCAGCATGCGGCCGTGAGCGCAAAAAGTGCGCGGTCCGGAAAGGGTTAATATCTGTTATGCAGCACAAAGCTTGTGCGATGTCACGGTACCATTATTCCCTACAATGTTGAGTCTGAAGGGAGCTGTAGGTGTTTGAA